TGGAATAATAAAGTGGCAACATAATGAATTGAGGTGTTAATTTGTTTAGGCAAAGCCTAAAGACATTTTAGCCTCAGCTGTCCATACAAATTTTTAATGAAATGAGGCTGGGTTGATACTGAACACTGTTGACCATTTTACCATAATTAAGTTCTTTTGTGAAGATTAAAATAACAAAAACTTGATGTGTTTCTGTGTTCTTTATGTTATCCCTGTACTTCATGGAGCTACACTTTCTTTGCATTTTGTTTTCCTTTTTATTCTAGTATTTTTATAAAGTACATGGCTTTTTCTTAATACGTAATAAATTCTACATGTGAAAAAATATGCCCATTTGTTATTACTAATTGCATTGTATTACTGCTAGCATGATATAGGCTACATCATACGTACCAAGTTCTTCACCTATCGCAAAGGTTTACACCACTTTTTGTAGAAAATGTAAGCCAATTTTATGACAGTACGACAATTGGCTTTTCATTACCTCCAAAAACTTGCTGGCATTTTAAAATTTTAGTTTAGTTAATTTAATACTCTGGATAAAAATAAAGTCAGACATTTCATGCATTTCCTAGTGAAGATTAATTTCATAATTCCATTAAAGTTTCATTTTACATTTGCTTGTCATTAAATATACTTTTTAAAAGTATATTGTCTGTGTAGTTGTGGTGGGTTGACCCTGGCTGAACATCAGGTGCCCACCAAAGCAGCTTTGTAACTCAACTGCACAGGGGAGAGAAAAAATAACAAAAGGCTCATGGGTCGAGATAAGGACAGGGAGAGATCACTCACCAATTACCATCACAGGCAAAACAGATTTGACTTGGGGAAATTAGTTTGATTTAGTACCAATCAAATCAGAGCAGGGTAATCAGAAATAAAATCAAATCTTAAAAACACTTTCCCCCCACCCCTCTCTTCTTCCCGGGCTTAATTTCACTGACAATTTTCTCTACTCACCCCCTCCAGAGTGGTGCAGGGGGCCAGGGAATGGGGGTTGGGGTCAGTTCATCCCACGTTGTCTCTGCCACTCATTCCTTCTCAGGGGGAGGACCCCTCACACTCTGCCCCTCTGGGGGCCCTCCAACAGCAGACAATCCTCCATGAACTTCTCCAACATGAATCCTTCCCACAGGCTGCAGTTCTTCATGAACTGCTCCAGCCTGGGTCCCCCGCAGGGTCACAAGCCCAGCCAGCAAACCTGCTCCAGCGTGGGCTCCTCTCTCTCCATGGGTCCACAGGTCCTGCCAGGATCCTGCTCCAGCGTGGGCTTCCCACAGGGTCACAGCTTCCTTCAGGCATCCCCCTGCTCCAGTGTTGGGTCCTCCCCAGGCTGCAGGTGGGGATCTGCTCCGGCGTGGGCCTCCCTGGGCTGCTGGGGGCAGCCGGCCTCACCGTGGGCTGCACCAGGGGCTGGTGGGGAATCTCTGCTCCGGGCCTGCAGCACCTCCTGCCCTCCTGCTGCACTCACCTGGGGGCTGCAGGGCTGTTTCTCTCACATAGTCTCACTCCTTTCTCTGGCTGCAACTGCTCTTGCCCAGTAACTTTTTTTCCCCTTCTGAAATACGTTACCCCAGAGGCGTTACCATCATCGCTGATGGGCTCAGCCTTGGCCAGCAGCAGGTCTGTCTTGGAGCTGGCTGGCATTGGCTCTGTCAGACATAGGGGAACCTTCTGGCAGCTTCTCACAGAAGCCACCCCTGTAGCCCCCCCACTACCAAAACCTTGCCACACAAACCCAACACAGTAGTACCCATACATGTAATCTGTGGCAGTGCATAATGGACTTAAGATGTCCTCTTCTGAGACTCTTTGATAACTACTTACTTATGCAATACCATTTATTCACAAGGAAAGCTTATAAATCCTCATTCCTTAGAAAATGTTAATAAAGAAACAATATCCTTCCTCAGACAATGTTCAAACTTGGTTTTCCCCTGGGAAACCTTTCCCTTCTCTCTTTCACGATGAAGTTGCCTTTCTGCTTAACTACTCCATGCTTTGTGGTTGCTTTCACTAGGTACATACAAAAAAGTACAAAAGTCAAGCAAATTAATGCAATAGTCATGGTATTTTCAGTCCAAGAGTATGTTTCCCTAAGTTAGTTCTTATTTTGACCTGTTGAGGATTTTATTGTCTGAACTTTTGATGAAAGAGCAGCTTTAAACTGATGCCTTTATCAGCCTGAATGAGAAGGGTTACAAAGGATCGCAAAGAGTACCTATCCCACTTGCTCAAATCTGAACAGAAAAACAGCAGGCTCATCTCACCTCTGTATCATAATATTCAACTAAATTTGACAGAGCAAGATCCATTAATGCTATAACCCATGAGAACAATCCCCTTGCCCTGAATGCTGGGGCTGGTCTGCAAGCATAGGAGTGCATCAGTTGCTTTCTGCCACTGCAGCTGAGTGCGTTGGGACACTTACCCTGGTGGGGATCACTCTTTCAGCAGAGCAGATGCTAAAGGATCTTTACTCTTGAAGGATCCTAAAGCACTTTATGGGTCTTTTTCTGTCACTGTAGCTGTCTCTCAACATCTGGCATCACTAATTGGCAAATTATCACCTGCAAAGCAGCCATCACTTGTTACCTCCCACCTGTTATTCATTTAGACTCATCAGATAGCCTGAGGTATAGGGTGCTCTTGATATTGTGCTGCTCTTTTCCCCTTAATCTTTGAGTGAGTAGAGGTTTAATGGACTTGGTAGCATTTTCAGGAATCCTTAGCAAGTCAACTTTTACACTATTGGTAATCTCTTTATGAGATTAGCGTCTAGGATGTAGGTCTAGTAATTAAATTTGAAGCAATAGAGAATTGACTGAATTCATGCTAGGGAGTACAGCTTTGCTTTTAGCCTGGGTTCTGACCTTCCAGATCAGGACTGGTCAACCCGCACTTCATTGCTGGATGCAGCTTGTGCTGGGGCTACACCTGTGAGCAGCAGCGAGATGAAGATGTCTGACATTGCCAGACTTCTGAAGTGCAAAGGAGGTAGAAGGTAGTGCCACCTCCTGCCTGGCGCTCCCTGAGGTATGTGTCTGGTGGCTTACAATGGTCAGGAGGTGTCAGGTGCAGGTGATGTAGTGAGGTTTGCACTTCTGGCTTTCCTCTTCCTTGGAGGCTGGCCTCAGGGATTTCAAGAGGCTCCAGCAGCCACCCCTGTCCAGGAATCAGCACAGCACCCCATAATTCACAGTACTGACCATATGAGGAAAGGTGCAAGTGCATGAGGTGTGTTTGGAGTATCAAGAATGTGGTACAAATTCTTCAGATTTTTAGCCTTAAAACTGGTCTGCTAATTGGCTGAAGGGATTCCTATTAAGTGCTTGTTTTTTCTTAATGAACCAAAGTTAGTTCTACTGCCAGGCTGCAGTTGGCTCTGGTGTGGTTTGAGGAACAGAAGAGGGTGAAGAGAAGGGACCATTCCATTTTTGTTTCTTTGTTATTGCACAATGTCCAACCAAGAAGGAAGTGAAATTCCTCTTGGGCTTGTGCTGTACGAGTTCCAGAGTAAAATAAGGCTGTTAAAACATCTGACGATATAAATGACAATGTATCTTTTATATAAATAGGCCACATGCTGTAAGGAAATGCTGCTAGTTTAAGACAAATCAGTTCAGGCCGAAGAAAACTTTCGCTCTTTCTAGGCAAGATCTTTGGCAGTTGAGTAAGAGATTTATGTTTTAAAAACCCCCCAGAAATTCTAGAAATGTCTTTTCCAGAAAAAGCTGATGACTTTATCATTGTTGTTAGTATATTTTTGTCATCATTTGAAAAAGAAAATTCAGTTAACTTTGCCCATAACTTCTTAACATCTGTACCTACCATTTCCTTGTAATTTCTTATTTCACAATTCAATTTTTCCTTTTTATTTTAATCCTGTAGTCTTTCTCAAGGAACTAACTCTCTTTCTTGCATTGTCTTTCTGCTGAGGAGACAAGTAGGAACAAATCTTGTACTTAGGAAATGCAATCATCTTGGCAACAAACAGGAGATGATGCCAGGTTTCCTTGCTATCACATTTTTGCTACAGATGCTGAATGAATACGTTACTACACTTCAAATAATATTTTCACACGACAGACTGTTTTTTCCATTTAGCAGTTTTTCCAAACAAAATATTTCCATGGTAAAAATATACTATGATAAAGTCAGGCCTTTATGCAGTTATAGGGACAGTCTATAGCAGTTGGCAGAGGAGTGCTGTTTCTTTCAGGTTTCCACCTATACATTTGGAAACCAAACTCCTGAGTGCTTGCTCTGTGATCTGAGTAAAAAGAGACACGTGGCATTTCCTGAAATTGTGGCTGGCTCTTGGTATGACTGTCTGACACGAGTGACCTACTTCACAAGAAAAACGGGGATTGTTTTTAAAATGAGACCTTTTTCAGGTAGTTTTGGGTGCTAGTCTCCTGGATGCATTTATGCAGAAATGAAAGTCAGGAGGACAATGGCAATCTCATTTAGAAGGCAGGAAAATTTTATAATGTCCTGCAAAGTGAATTTCATCTAAATCCTCTAAAATGCAATCCTGCCTCATCTCATGCCTGAAAATATGAGACTGACATGTTTTCCTGATAGTATTTTTTTACTGTGTAAGATTTAAAAGCTGAGGTTGAATTTCTGTCTTTGGTATTTCACTATTGGTTTGATCCTATGAGCTCCCCAGATTTCTCTTCAGGAGAGATAGCAGGAAAATATTGAGATACAACCTTTTGTGTATCACCTGCTTTCTCAAGGCAGCACGATTAGCTCTCAGTGAGAAGTAATTCTTTTGTGAAGGAAAAATTTTGCGGTGTAGTCTTGTTTTTTTTGAAATGCAGCATGTGACAGAATATTTCCTTATTTAGCACTCAAAGCTTTCTATCCAACCATCCAGCCTTTGAAACTGAGGAGGACTGGTCATTGTCCTCACTTCATCAGGACTTTATTGCCAGCAACTCTCATCATCCAGCTTTTGGTGAAGGGAAGAAAAGAAAACAGTGCTTACAATTATGTTCTCCGGGTTCTTGCTTGTTCTTTCTCTTGTTCACAGTGCTTTGCAGCTGGCAGGTAAGTGTCTCCCACTTGCCTCCTGTAAACGTGTCTGTGAAAGTGCTCCCACGTCCTCTGGCATTTCTGGGTGATTTGTGGTTCTGTGGCAATGCCTCTATGTACATCATTAGTTTGGGACATATAGATGGCAAGCCTCTCAATGGCAGGCAAGAGGTAAGGGCAGGATCTAACAGAAAAAAGAAACTGATAGAGAAGGAAGCAAAGATTGAATTCTTAATGGCTTTATTAATATATAGTGGCACTATCATTTCAATAACCCCAGAAGATCAGACCTAAGAAAATCATGAGATATGTTTAAATGTATTTTTTTTTCTTTTTTATTTTTTCTTTTTTTTCTCCTTTTATTCTTTAGTTCTGTGTTCTGATTTTTGAGCTGTTGGTGTCTAGGTAATGGTTAGCAAAATCAGGCAGGAAAAACTTCAGGAGTGGTGAAATGCAGAATTTGTAGGACATTAAGATGTTCACAGACAATGGCTGTGCAATCCAGAAAGACTTAGTGCTTATAAAGAGGATTATTTTTATTCACTGTTTTGAACAGGCTCACTGAATTCACTGGCATTGATAAAGTGGATGAAGTAAATTTTTGTGAAATAAAGTTGGAATAAGTTTAGGAAAGTTATTGCAGTGACAACATTACTGCCATCCTTTTAGCTGTGCTTCTATTGTAGATATTAAACAGATGGCTTCTGGAGACCTGAATGTTTAGTAACTTTTTTAGTTTTGTAACTCCTGAGTAAAACTGCTACAGATTGCCTCAGAATCTGTGGTGGTTTTTTTCAATTGCCCATGGTATCACTGAAGGCCAGAATAACTGTTTTCAGTGTACTGTATATTATCAACTAAATGGATTTCAACTTTTTGCAGTCTTTTAAAAGAAATTTATTTAGCTTTTAAAATACATTTTAATTAAATATGACACCTAGTGATCCAGAGATGTATCAGGGACCACATTGGTTATGAATACCACACACTTTGGAGGGAAATACAACCAGGTGGGTCACAAAGTACACCACAAAACAGCAAAGCAAATTCAGAGGCATGATTCACTACTGCTACTGGCAAACTCATGGTAGGACTGAAATTAGCTCAGCTACTTCTACTTTACATTGGAGCCAACTCTGTAGCCATGATCAAAGAAACTATCTGGAGAGCTAGGGACCCAGCTTCTGGTATAGGTGGACCTTCTAACTTCCGCCAGCCTTTCCACATTGCCAAGTGGTGGTCAGATACACTACTGCCCAGTCCTTGCCACTTTCTCAGATGGCAATGGTTTCCCAATGTCATTCGTACTTTTACATTGCAGTGGCTCATAGTAGATACTGCAGGTCTTGTAAGTCAGCAAGGCCAACGAGCCCAGAGTATCCCCAACAATCCAAGAAGCTGTGCCCAGCTCTGCTGACGCTGCTGACTGCCATCAATCCACAGTATGGTGAGGTAATAATGAAATACATACCCTATTGTCTACCTTACTGCTTTTTAATCAGTAAAATTGATGTTGCACTGGACTCTGTTCAAAAACATCATGTTTTTATCTGATATGAATGCAATGACTCTTTGTTCATGTGGATGGGAAGCAGAATCGTGTTACATATCCACTATACATACACTCTATATTAACTATTTACTATGTATTGTTTTGTTTTGCAGACATTGAAACATTTTTAATATATAATAAAGTCAACAAGCTCTGCCTTCAGGCATCTGTCATGCAGTCAGTTAGAACTGCCACTTGCCATCAAGACAATGAATCACAAAAATTCAGGTGGATCACTGATCATCAGCTTATGAGTGTGAGACTGAACCTATGCCTGGGGGTGCAGTCAAAGGAGGATCAGGCTGTGATCACCCTGTATCCTTGTAATCGAACAAGTGAGCTCCAGTGGTGGGAATGCAGAAATGAAAGCCTCCTTGCAATCCAAGGAGAAGATTTGTTTTTCAGCCCTGGCAATGAAGAACATGATAATGTTTTGTTAAAGCGGGGGCTGAGTGCAAAGAATAAGTGGAAGATCTACGGGGACACGGATGTTTTATGTTCCCAGGGATATGAAGGTACAGAAAATTGATTCTTTCATCCTTTGCACTAATTTCTTTGTGAGTGTTAGAGTGTTTTTTGATCTTTGGCTCTGACTATTCTGATTCCTTCAGTAACCATCAGAGTTTTAAAAAATCAGTGTACTGAGGGAGTTAGTCTTGAATTTAATGTCATATTTATGGCCAAGTATGTATTTTATTATAAATATATATGTTTATAGGTTATATAATACACACTCTATTTTAGTATATGTATTATAGTATATTAGTATTACAAGTATTATAAGTATTACATATACTCTATACATTCTCTAAATATATTTTATATATTAGTATATACATATATACATACTTACTCTTATACTATATATAAGTATTCTCTAAAGTCACTATTGCTTGCCATACTGTGTCACTACATTGTTAAAAGGGAATATGAACACTGATAAGTTTCTTATACAGTAACATGGAAATGAAATTACATCCTCAAGAAAGAAGCACAATATGGATGAGCTGAGAAAGGGCTGGAAGTACCAGTGTAGGTGGAAGAAGTGTGGCTTTTGCGACTCAGCAGATGAAGATGCTCATGCAATAATTATAACTACCAGTGCAATTACCCTTTGCGATTAGCTGAAGTTTGATTGTTCTGAATAGCTTTCCCACATCCAGGATGAATGCTCTGAAAAGCCACCTCACAGGATATTTGAAGTATTAAACTCTGATCCTTGCATATGGGAGCTGCTCTGCTGTATGTGAGATATTTAAATGGTCACTGGAATAAAACCAGAGACGGATTATCTAACCTAATGTTTACTTTTTCCAGGAAGTAGCACTTCTAAACATTAGTTCCTAATCTTGTACATTTTATATAAATCTTAACACTCTTTAAAATAGTAGTATCTTAGGGTATAGCTCTGGACCCTTATGAAGTTTGTAAAAGCATCTTGGTCAGAACAAAAATCTAGTTGTAGACTTCATACATGAAATATTACTTTACATATGTCAGCAACTTAAGTCTGAAAAAGTGTTGAAATTAATATTTCTATGGTTATGAGAAAGGTAACGTGGAAAACACTAATGGATTCAGCCATTAGCATAGGCTTCACATTTTTCGTGGTTTACATTCATTTATTATTTTCCATACTATACCATTTTGTCTTCTCAGAGACCTTTACACTGCTAGGAAATGCTTTTGGGGCACCCTGTATATTCCCTTTCATGTACAATAAGCAGTGGTACGCCAAGTGCACAGACGCTGGTCGGTCAGATGGTTGGCTCTGGTGTGCAACCACTGCAGACTATGATGCAGACCAGCGATATGGATTTTGCCCATCAGAAGGTAGGTTACCTGTTTCCATGCAGTTCCCCTCAGTGTAGTATTGGCAAACCAGCACTAGCAGAATATGAATATCTTTATACTAACACATAGTTTAGAAGAATGTATTTTAGTATATGATGCACTGCCACATCCTGCAGTCTTTCCGCAAGGAAAGAACATGTTGCATAGAGATGTGGAGAAAAGTAAAACAGTACGCAGTTCCCACTAATTGTGAGGGTGTTCCTGAGCAGCATGATAATTTTGAACTCCTCACTGTTTCCCAGCCAGGATATGTGCTATCATCATTGTACAACCCTCCTCTGAGGATCCCCATTGCGATGGATGTGGGCACAAAAATGAGTGCTGCAGGACGATTAATGATTAAGTTAATGTTTCAGTCTGCATGATTCTCATGTGAATATTTTTTTTTTACTTAAAAAAATGTATCCTTTTATCCATGCTATTAAGCCCTATTCATATTGCCTGAGAAGCAGTCTTTCCACCCCTTCTGGCAACTGGCTCCCATCCCTGACACACCTCTACAGCTTCTGAAAACTGTCTTCCATTTCTGTGGTCACTTCCCCCTCCATCTCCCCTTATGGCCTTGTTCTTGACAGGGGAGCTTTGCATTCAAGACATTGAAGGCTCCTCCTGACACTTCTCAACTTTCCCCCATATTCCTCCCCATTGTTCCTATTCAATATTGTGTCTTTTATTATTAAAATGCCTCTTTACCCCAGTTATTTCAAAATGTGCTCTTGCTGTGGTTCAAATCCATAGTCCAATATGCTTTCCAGGTCCCTACAAAGATACCTAGAACACTGAGCCCAAAAGGTGTGTGACGTAAGGTCAATGAATAATTTTCAAAGCTGTTGAAAGCCAGTCCCAGCTCTCAGTTCATTTTTAATTCAAGTTCATACTGACTTTTGGGAATAATCAAATAACTGATTTAATTTTGTATTGTGCTTGATTGAGCATGTACAGATCTTCAACAGGTGAAAGACTCAAAAGTAATCAGAAGAGGAGCACAATGCAGCTCACCACCATTGCAGTGGCACATCCAGAGGCTCTTTGCAAGGGGGAGATTTATCCAAGAATTGTTTTGATGTTAAATTCCGGTCTAGAGCTGGTTCTTACAGCTCTCAGTGAGAACTGCTGTCCAGAAAGAGAAGGAGGAGATGCTGTATATCTTTTTACGCATTTCACCTAGGATTTCTGCCACAGTATTCCATGCAATATATTTTACTATGCAATCACTTCCTTCGTAGTAATTCCTCAACTATGAAACTTTATGGAATAGGAGGCAATATTTTCCATCTGTACCTGTCAGTTTACAGGGCTTAACTTCATAGAATCTTAGAATGGTTTGGTTGGAAGGGACCTTAGAGATCATCTAGTTCCAACCCCCCTGCCATGGACAGGGACA